TTCCTGGGGTGTGCTGACCCTCAGGTTAAACCCCACCAGTCAATAAGAGAGCAGCCCTCTGGCCTGGAATGTCTATAGTAACTCTACCTTCCTCAGTTTTCCTTCCAGGTGTGCATTTGTTTGTCACATGATGTGCCATTCGGAATGCCTTTGGGCATGGTGCTACGTAAATGCATATTGGCTTTGCCTCTTTATGCCTCCTGCCTTGACACTCACTGTCAGTGCTGGTCCCTGCTGGGACAATTGAGCTGGGATTGTCACACGTGCAGCAAGACGGGACAAACCTAGGGGCTGCCTCATGGCAGCTGGGGGGAGGGAGGCCATCACAATGTCACTGGACAATAATCCACAGTCCCCTTTAAAAGTCTGTCATTAAAACCTCGCCAAATGGAAACTAGTGCCAATTGTCAAAGAAACCCGTCTGGGTCACTAATGTCCCTTAGGGAAGGAAAATGCCATCCTTACCTGGTCTGGCCTACATGTGACTCCAGACCCACAGCAATTTGGTTGATTCTAGACTGCTCCATAGGCAATTAGGGATGGGCAATAACTGCCAGCCTAGCCAGTGGTGCCCTCATCCCGTGAATGAATAACAAACTCCTTCAGTATCTGCCCACATTCACCAGTTACCACTGCCAACACAGAGATGTTATCTGAAGTCGTCCTGAAAAGAAAGGTAGAATGTGGGCTGGGGAGTAACTGTGGCATGAATATTGATCCAGGCCATTTTACAAGAAATTTATGATGAAATGAGAGTAATATCATGAACAAACCCAATCTTATCCTGCTCAACTGCCATTCTGATAATATTCTTTCACAAGTCTGATGGGAGCATCATTGGAATTTATTGCCCATCCCTAATTGTCCAGAGAGTAATTAAGAGTCAATCACATTGCAGTGGGACTGGAGTCACATATAGAGCAGGCCAGGATGGCAGCTTCCTTCCCTAACAGCCATTCAGAAGGTGGTGGTGAGCTGCCTTTCCATGCTGTATAGCCAAGATAGATACGATGACATTTCCTTCCATCACAGCTCCTCTTAAAACCCAACTGTGGGCATTGATTTGCATTCTGGTACAGTACACAGTGAAAAAAGACTCGATAATTATGCCTCATTGCATTTCCATTTCTGGAACACTGCAAATAAATCTATTGAGCAAAAAGCCATTAACTGGAGAGTTAGACTTCCCACAGAATGTTGATCTTTTCAATCTTCGCCTCCCTTCCCTTCTCCTTTTCTTTGTATTTTCAGTGAATTTTTCTGCCTCCCCCTCCCCCAACTGCAAAACATTTGACACTGAGGAAAATATTTCTTTTCTCACCTCATCTAAATATCATGAGTTTGGAGATTTGTGACCAAGCAGATGAAGCGTGGATTCTGAGCTTGGGTTTAATTCAGACAGTGGCCTCTCTGCACCAAATGTTGATTAGCTCAAACTTTAATGCTCCGAGGCAAACCTACCACAACTTATTGGCTTTAAAGTCCCATTCCCCAAACCACCTGCATTAACCAATTTGAAAGTCCCGCCCAGTTGAACCCCATACCCCCAGCTCCTTCTTCACAATCCAGTAAACAAGTTATCTCCAACCCACAGCCTGTATTCACTAGAGTTTGAAAATATGAGGGAGATCTGGCTGAAATGTATAAGATGCTAATTGGGCCAAACAGCCTGGATGCAGGGAGGATGCTTCACCTGGGTGGGGTGTCAAGAACCAGGGGACATGGTCTCAGGTCATTTAAAACTGAGTTGGAGAAAGGTTTCTCCACTCTGGGGGTGGGTGAACCTGTGGAATTCTCTGTCACGGGAAGCGGTGGAGGCTGAGTCACTGGAAATATTCCAGAAAGCACTGAATACATTTTTAGATTTGAAATGCATCAGGGGATATGGAAAGAAAGCGGGAATATGGCATTGAGATTGAGGATCAGCCATGATGGTTTTGAATGGTGCAGCAGGGTCGAAGGGCCAAATGGCCTACTCCCGCTCCTAGTTTCTATGTTTCTGACCGTGTGTAGGAGTTAATTACACCAGCCTTTCAGGTAGTGCCTTCCAGATGTTAATAAGCTCCAATGTGGAGATGTTTCCTGTCAGTCCTTTCTCCTGTCAGAAGCTCACTAAGGATCGCTGCACCTGACATTCCCAAATAACAGAAGCAAGTGTCTATCAGGGACAGAAGCAAACACAAAGATCAAATCCCCAAGCAGCAGCAGCTCACCCTAAACTCAGTTTCCCAGTTCTGAGGAAGGGTCACTCGACCCGAAACGTTAACTCTGATTTCTCTCCACAGATGCTGCCAGACCTGCTGAGCTTTTCCAGCAATTTCTGTTTTTACTCCTGTGGATCCTGTCTTATTGCCTGTAGCATTGGGCACAGATTGGCCCTTACTCAATCACCTCCGTACCCATGTGAGCACCAAATGGTGAACACAGCTATTTCCTCCTCAAAGGATGAATAAGCTGAGGCCTTTTGCCAATTCCCTTCAATCTTTGCTCTCTGTTAACTAAGCCTTTTTTGAAAATTCTAAGCAACTCAATTAAACCTCCCACTATAACCTTTCCCTTTCAAAGGAGAACAATCCAGGTTCCACCAATCTCTGCACAGTTCAATATCACAGAATTGTTACTGAATAGCCCCATCAAAGCCCCATCCAATCCCCGTCTTGAGTCCCTCAGTTGAACCTGCGTCCACACATTTCCAGGCACTGCATTCCACACCCAAACTACTCACTGAGTGAAAACATCGTTCTCACGTTGTCCTTGATTCTTATGAACATCACTTTCAATCAAAGCTGTCTGGGCTTTGTTTCCAGAACAGCTCCTCCCCATCTACCCTCTCCAGCTCGCTCATGATTTTGGAAATCTCTACTGAATTTCCTCTTCAATCTGTTCACATCGCTGAAGTTTCTCGTTCCTGGAACCATCCTTGTAAATCATTCCTGCAACTCTCTGTCTAATGTGAACACATGAACTGAACTCCCTTATCCCCACAAAGAACCTGGTGAACCAGTTCCAATCAATTAACTTCCTTCCTTCACATCCTTACTCTACAACATTCTCATAGGATTCAGCACTGACCTTAGCACACGCTCCTTGTATGTTTTGGAGTTCCTTCTCTCTCACCGGGGAAGGCTGTGGTCCAGTGCTTACCAGTCCGTTAGGACTGCTCGATCTCTCTCTCAAAAACCCTCCTTGCACTTCTCCCTGATACAGCTTTACTGTTGGGTGAAGGTGACGGGCAGTTAATCAGATAGCCTCCGTCCCTCACAACTATCATCCACAAAAGCTGCACATCACACAATTACAGTTCCACAACATTGACCATCGGAGAAGATTCCAGGATGGGGTTTGCTGCCTGACACTATTGCCTACCGCTTGTCTCCCTCTTCCTCCAAACTGTCACTGTGAAGAGAAATGTGAACTCGTCCCTTTATTTCTCCAAAAAAGCAGATGAAGTCAGCTGCAGTGGGATTGCCAATGTGAACGAGAGAATGTGTGTGGGCCCAATAGAAGGGCCATTGTGCCTTCGTTCAGATATGGCAGTCTGCCCAATGTATATCATCAATGTACACAGCACACAAACCCACAGCAACACCAGCTCAGAAACACCTTCACTTCACATCAGAGACCCACACTCACACAGGAATGGTGCGGGCTTCCTCTGCTGACAAGGCATCCAATCGGATTGCCTTAGTCAGTGTAGCAATGAAAATCCCATTAGAACAGCTGTGCCATGCTCACAAGTCAGCACCTCACACAGAAATCAGCAACACATTCAGCACCAGTCTTTGCAAACTGGTCTCACACCACACAGTGCACCATAATAACCAGGCTCAGGGAGCGCTGTACTGTCGGAGGGTCAATACTGAGGGAGTGCCGCACTGTCGGAGAGTCAGTGCTGAGGGAGCGGGCACTGTCGGAGGGTTAGTGCTGAGGGAGCGCCGCACTGTCGGAGGGTCAGTGCTGAGGGAGTGCCGCACTGTCGGAGCGTCAGTACTGAGGGAGTGCCGCACTGTCGGAGGGTCAGTACTGAGGGAGTGCCGCACTGTCGGAGGGTCAGTACTGAGGGAGCGGGCACTGTCGGAGGGTCAGTGCTGAGGGAGTGCCGCACTGTCAGAGGGTCAGTACTGAGGGAGTGCCGCACTGTCGGAGGGTCAGTGCTGAGGGAGTGCCGCACTGTCGGAGGGTCAGTACTGAGGGAGTGCCGCACTGTCGGA